CAACGGCTGTGTCTAGATTGCATCCCTTTTCCATAAAAGGGATGCAAATTAGACACATCACAATTGCAAATGAAGCGGGGATTTAAATCCCCCCCTGCTTCATTTGCATAAAAATGGCTGCCGCTTTTTTCCGGCTCGGAGCTTTGCCGGAAAAAAGTGCCAGTCTAGACACAGATCTTTTGGAAAATAAAGCCTTTTCCGAAAGATCCCTTATTCCTGATTTTAAGAGGAGCAAGGGATCTTTTGGAAAAGGCTTTATTTTCCGAAAGATCCGCGTCTAGACTGGTGCTTTTTTCAGGCAAAGCTCCGAGCCGGAAAAAAGCGGCAGCCATTTTTATGCAAATGAAGCAGGGGGGGATTTAAATCTCCGCTTCATTTGCAATTGCGATGTGTCTAATTTGCATCCCTTTTACGGAAAAGGGATGCAGTCTAGACACAGCCAGCAAGTTTTGCTGCTATTGGGGGGTGGGAGGCGCATGAGGGTTTCTCAAAAATCAAAAAGGGGGTGTGATGCCGAAAAGTTTGGAAACCACCGCCTTAAAAGCTGTGGCTCCAGCAGCCAGCTGGCTTCCCGCTTGTTGCAGGCACAGCCCTGAAGGTGAAACGCTTGGATCACGGCGCCCTCTTGTGACACGTGCTCTCACCAAAGGTGAGTGTAATCTCCCTGCTTCCATTGCCCACTACAGTCCCCCTGGCCCTCAGGGCTTTCTGCAGGAAGGCCAGTTCCAGAGGCAGCAGAGTCAGTGTCCGAGTTTTGCAGCTGGCCCTTCCGCTTGCAACAAGCTGAACCAGAGAAATGCTGAATTGCAGGCAACAGGGCCGGCCCACAACGTTTTGGCACCTGAGGCGGGGAGCTTAAATGAGGCCCCCCTGCCCCCTCACTTGGGCCAAAACTTGGAAAGGTCTCAATTCTGCCGTCTTCCTGTTCTGCTCCTCTCGTGGGGCTGCTCTGCTACCTACCTCTGCACCAGCAGCAGACACAATTTTCTATACTCCCGGTCCTAGTGGCGCCCCCCCCCCCCCCACT